TTTTTTAGATTCTTGTCTTTAAATTTTCAATACAAAATAAAGTACTGCAGCTAGACTGCATCGTTAACAAAAAAAAAATTATTTAGACTAGTAATACATTAGACAATTTGTTCCAATTAAATGACAAAAGTTAGTTTTAAAGAAACAATAAATAAAATCGTTCTAATAGAATGATAATGCATTATTCTAAAGAAACAATAGAAAGAATCATTCTGATAGAATAATAATACATCATTTTAAAGGAATAATAAATAAAATTATTCTGATAAAACAATAATGCATTATTCTAAAGGAACAATAGAAAGAATCATTCTGATAAAATAATTTATTATAGTTCTATCAAGATGATTTTTTTATTGTTTCTTAGAATAATGTATTATCATTCTATTGAAACGATCCTTTCTATCATTTCTTAGAATAATATATTATTGTTTTATCAGAATAATTCTTCTATTATTCCTTAAGAACAATATACTATAGTTCTATAAGAATAATTTTTTTATTATTCTTATAGAATGATGATTTATTATTCTTATAGAATGATGATTTATTATTCTTATAGAATGATGATTTATTATTCTATCAGAACGAAACTGTTATTGTTCTTTTAAAACTATGTATATTGTTCTATCTGAATAATTTTTTCTATAATTCCTTTAAAAAAAATTGTTAAATTTTTACTTGAGTTCAGCTTGACTTTATTTAAACTTGAATTTTGCTTGATTTTGTGCTTGATTTGTGTTTGAGTTTTACTCAATTTTTGGCTTAAGTTTAGTTCAATCTATCTCAAGTTGAATCAACCTTAACTTGAAACTCAATTCAAGTTAAACAAGTCAAATTTTTTTAACTTGACTTGACTTAACTTGACTTAATTCATTTGACTTGAAAGTTAGCTCGACTTATTCAGAACTCTAGAAATAATAATCATTTTATAAAAACAATAAAATTTGTTTTTTTGGAATTGTAATTATTATTATTAAAATAATAATTATTCTATAAGAATAATATAAATTGTTCAATTAGATAATATGTAAATCATTTAATTAGAATATTAAAATAAATCCTAATGAGATAAAATTTCAAAAATTTCAGATTTATCTAATATAAAACTGAAAAACTTTAGATTTAGCCAAAAAATTTTTTTTAACTTTTTTTTTCTTTTTTTTTCTATATTTTTTTGGTAATACTTTCTCTTTCTCTTTCTTTTATCTTAAAAAATTTTTTATCATTTTCATTTTTTTTTTTTTTTTAAATTTTTATCTAAAAATAAGATAAGTAAATCAATAGTCTTTTAGATAAATTTTTTCTTTTTTTCTTATTTTAAGAAAAATTATCATTTAAAAATAAAATAAGTAAATCAGAAGTAATTTTTTGAGTAAAAATTATCATTTCCTTTCTTTTTTTTTGCTTTTTAGAAAAATTCTTATTTTAAAAATAAGGTAAGTAAATCATTTTATTTTTCTTGTTTTTTTTTTAGAACAGTTCTTATTTAGAAATTAAGTTAAATAAATTAATGATAACTTTTGAATAGGTTTAATTCTTTTTTCTTGATATTGTTTAAAGAAATTCTTTTTAAAACTAAGATAAACCTTTAAAAGTAATTTTAAGATATTTTTAATTCTTTTTTTCTTTATTTTCTTTAGAAAAATATTTTTTCAAAATTAAGGTAATTCTTTGAAAGTGATAAATAGTTTTTAACCTTTTTCTTATTATTTATTTTTTTATTTATTTAGAAATATATTAAGATAAATCAAAAATATATTTTTTTTAACTGATTTCTTTATTTTTTATTTACTTTCTTTAGAAATATATTAGATAAGTAAACTTTATTTTTAGATAGTTTTTAATTTTTTATTTTTTTTTATTTTTCTTTAGAAATACATTAAGAAAAATAAATTAGATGACTTTTTAATAAAAATTTACTATTTTTTTTTTTAAAAAAATTTTATTTTAAAATTAAAATAAGTAAATCAAAAGCGATTTTATATTGATTTTTAATTTTTTTCTTTATTTTCTTTAGAAATACACTATAATTAATGATGCTATTTGAAATCTATTTTAATATGAAGCTTAAAAATTGAGAAATCATTTTGAAACTTTAAAATGACTTTTTGTTAATCTAAAATTTGATGAAACTTAATTGAGTTTAGGAAAACCTATTAGAAATTTAAATAACGATATTTATTATAAACAAATAGCTTTATCTCAAATATCTCAAAACTCAAATTTTCTAAAAATATTTTAGGAAGGTATCTTTAACTATAATAAATCAATTAAAATTAATTTTGATAAATATTTTAACTTATTCTTTTATTTTACTTTTTTTTTTTATAAATATATCTTATTTATGGTAATCAATTGAAGTAAATTTTTTAATTTTTTCTTTATTTTTTCTAAAAAATTCAATTTTAATAATTATGTAAAAATAATATAATTATAAATTAATAAAATTTAAATAAATATAAATTTGTTATTGTTAGTTCCAGTTGCTTAGGCTGATTTTAAGCTAATTTAAACTGATTGATAGCTAAATTTAGGTAATCTTTAGGTTTAAGCTAATTTTAGATAGACAATGTATGACTGATTGATATTTCTAATTGATTTTGATTTTGTTAATTAAAATTAATGTAAATTAGCCATAAATTAGCTATCAATTATACATTAATTAATTATTTAAATTTTAGCTAATTTAAATCTATTTTGACTAGTATATATATTCAATTATTTATAAAATTTATTTTAATATTTATTAAAATCAAAATTTCATATTGTTTTTATTTTATTATTTATATATTTATAAATTATTTTATTATTTAATTTAGATATTTTAATATTTTATATTTAATTAAACTTTTAATTAAATGTAAATTATTAATTAAATTTTAATAGAAAATTATTACGTATTACTAGTGATAATAAATACTGATATCATATGATTTATATGTTTATATTACATGTGTTATTTGTCACCTTATGTTATGCTTCCTTATTTTCATTTTTACTATATATTCTAAGGATTTAGAATTTTTTTACTACTAAAATATTTGTTTCATTCTTAAATGTTACCAGTCACATGAGATAATAAAAATCTTTAATTACTATTGGTTGAATTAATACTGATGATGATCATTACTAATGATAAATAGTAAACTCTATTTTAATAAATAATTAAATTTTAACTAAAATTAATTAGATCTCTATTAATAATATAAAAATAAATTAGAGAAAGTTAATAGAATAAATGTAAAATCAAAATTTTATTAGACTATTTATCATATACATATAATTAATTAGCTTTATAATTTAATTTAACAAACAAATTTAATTTTCTTTTGATTATAAATATATTTTAGATTGATTTATTTATATACAAATCTCAATCAAAAATCTTTGAACACTAATTTTAACATCGTATTTCTCAAGATACACTAATTCAAAATTTTATATAATCTTGATATAATTTTAATATATAATATATCAAAATTTTATTTAATTTGAATTACTGGATGTTAAGATATTTATATATATAAAAATGCATAAATATTTTAATTATACAAATCTTAGCTAAAAGTTGCTAAATACTAAATTTAATACATGATTCACTGATTAGAATTAGATCAAATTTTCATATATTCATAATATAATTTTAATTATAATATATTAAATTTTCATTTAATTTAAATTACTAGAAGCTGGGATATAATAATACATAAATAATTTAAATTATATATTTTTTAAAAAATTATTACAAATTTCATAATTCATGGACCATTAATAATTTTTCAGTCATATTCAGTCACAATAGTTTATAGTAATTTTATTATAAAATATTTTTAGTCGAATTTAGTTGCAATTTATTATAGTCTATAAATTATGAAAAAAAATATTTTCTAAAAATCTAATAATTCAAATTAAATAAAAATTTAATAAATAATAAATAAATATATTATTTGTAAAATATCAAAATTTGAGATGATTTGAATTACAAAATATTTATATATATTTATGCTAACAATAACATAATCTTGTATATTAATTATCTCAAAATTAAGAAAATCAAATCACCTCAAATTTTATATTTTATAAATAATATATTGATTTATTATGTATTAAAATTTTATTTAATTTGAATCATTAGATGTTTTGAAAATATATTTAATCTTTTTTTAAAACTTTAACTATCAAAGTATAAAATATCTCAGCTTCCACCGATTCAAATTAAATGAAATGTTAATATATTATTGATTGAGATTGTATCAAGGTTATATAAAAATTTGAACTAATCTGATCGGTGCATCTTGAGAAATACGATGTCAAATTAGTGTTCGGAGACTTTGGCTGGGGTCTGTATAAAATTAAAAATTAAAAATTATTTTGTAAAAGTCAAAAATTAAAGTATATAAAATTACTAATTTTTACTAATATTTATAATTATATTTATTACTATATTTTAAAATGCTTAAAAGTTAATTTATCCTTAAAGCTTTGATTAGTAATGTGGATGCTTTGCGTATGAACTCCAAAAAAATATTTTTTTTTTTGGGCTAATGTTGAATTTGGACTTATTTTATTTTAAAAAAAAAATTTTAATTATTTAATTCTAATTTTGAGTCTAATGATAATTATATTGCATTGTAAATTTAATACAAAACCGGGAATTACTTGGGTGGGATTATCGAATGATATCAAATCCTTTTCCTTCTTGCATGTTTGATCCCATACCATCAGAATGATGCTTCGTGTTACCAACTTTCATTGATAGCAAACAATCCAATACATGGCAAACAAAAAGGATGACAGATATCTTTCAGTGTTGCAGGCACCCATTCCAATCTGTGGACTTTCCAAGCCATCTTCTGCACAGGTCTGATGCGCTGATGGAGCAAGCAATATCTTCTTGCTCAAAAGTACGTGATCTGTCTGCATAATCGTCCAACTATCTATATATGTAATATCCTTATAAGCAGTGATGTGCTTTTGGAAGATTGGAAGCACTATTGGAGGCACCTTGGGAAGGTTTGAAAACATAATTTTCTAAAAATCATTTGGCTTGGAACATTGGAAGTATAAATCCTTATAAGGGCTCTTATCTTCTTTACCGTTGTCCAATGTCAGTGAATACTATTTTCATGTATTCCTCTACCTTGTTCCAGAATTCCTCCATTTGTGAGATATCCGTAATAACGAAACCATTCGGCAGGAATCAACTTTTCATGTTGACTTTTGGAATTGCATAAATTTTGAGCTTTGTGTTCACCAAAGTATCTGCGATTGGATAGCAGTACTGATCAATTCTCACAAACAACGTAGATACAATAGCGTTTCTTTGCAACTTCCTTGATGGATCGTGATTTTTCTGCCTTGTACAATCGTTGTATGTGGCATGTAATATTGTTTATTGTTGAACATATGAAGACAGTTGTCAATGTAAATGAGATAATTTTTTGTAACGTAGTCGAAATTGTGTAAATTAGAAAATATATTCTTATTATAGACGCGTAAAAACGCGTGGATATGATTTTGATAATCTATTGAAACCAGTATTTAAGATCGAAGTCCGTCGATCCGACCGGTATGATCAGGACTGTCCAACGTTAGACTGTTAACATAAATTCTCACCGAATTCATAGGTAACTTTCGCGTGCATTTGAATAAGTTTTTCCTTTTTTTTTTTTTTTGTTTTTGAAGAAAATGTCAAAACACAAAAATTCAAGGTAATGTATTAATATTTCACATTTCTTCATAAATTGAACATTCTGTTTGATATATAAAACACAGACAAACGCAAAGGAAAAAAAAAAACAGATAATCAATTTCTCATCATGCAGATATTTATTTATTCAATATAAATACTATCAATGACTTTCCAATGTTTTGATAGAAATTGTGGATTTGTGGTTTTCACAAAGTGATCCCTCCAAAGATAAATAAATTCTTCTAACTTTGGCCACCTCTCTCTTGTACTACTAATATCTTCCGAACCAGTTACATAATAACTATCTTTCAATAATTGACTGACGATATATTCACCATGTTCAATGAACTCATTAGTTTTTTCATATTCTGGCAACATGAGAGCTTGCTCAATTAAATCATCTAATTTATCACTTTTGACTTTATTGGTAGTTTGTTGCCAAGTGAATAAAATATTTCTTAACTCTCGCATTCGGTCTTCTGGGATCCCAGTTTTATTTAACGCCGAAGCAACTTTTTTCACTTTTACATTGTAATCCAAACGAACTCGACCTCGACCGTTCAATGGCATATCAAAATCTTTGGCAATTTTCTTTTTTAGTTCGCTTGCTGCCTTTTCATATGATGTGTGACACTTTATACACATCAAAAGAATATCATGATTCTAAATAAAACAAAGACAAAAAATATATATATATTATTATACGTGTTGTTTTTTTTGATTTTATTTACTTTGTTGTTTTAACTATAACATACCGTATGAGATTTTACGACCTCAGGCATTTGTCTACGATACATCTCAGGAACCACATGATGTCTAGTCAAATTTTCATTGTCACCGCAGCAAACACAAAAGTTGCATCTATCTTCCAAATGATATTTATCAAAGATATGTCCTAACCCTTTGGGTTGAAAATTTAGTTGAATGCTATCATCCGCAATTTGATTTGCTAGGTTTCTCGATAAATACCAAGATATCTTTTTGGTATTACAACGAAACATTAATTCCCCTCCCAAGGAATACACTTTCCAATTATCATAAGCTCGTTCACGTATCGATTGCATTTGTAATTTTGTTTGTTGCGTTTTTCAATTGTTCGTCTTATGTAAAGGTGTTTGGTAATCATGTGATGTCGGACAAACGTCCGATCATTGTTGATTTGAATTATTCAATGAAATAAAAAATAAAATACAATAATTTGATCTTATTTTTCAAAAATGTCTACTACAATTCAGGCAATTTATCAAAGTAAAGAGGACACGGCAAATGAGAAGAAATTTAAATATGAAATTACAAATTCTATTCAAATTAACAATTCAGTCACCAATCAAAACATGGAGTCTTTGACTGATGCTCTAATTTTACTACAAAAAGATATTAATGTCTATCTAACATCGAAATTACACGAAGGCAATATTGAAGATATTACCAGAGATGATGATGGTGATGATGGTGATGATGATGTTGATGATAACAATGAAAATGATGAAAGAAACGAATAACGGTTAGTTAGTACTTTAAAAAAAATTATCTGGTGAATTATAGTAAAAAATTTATTCTCTAAAGGATCTTTGTTTTCGATTCACAGTTGTCACATAACTTTATTAAAAAGGTTTTCCACCTGCGGTAAAAAATTTAATAAAAAATTAATTTTACTTCCTTGCTAATGATGATTAAGATTATTATTATATAAGAGATGTATCGAATTAATAAATAAATCGAACTTTCAATGATTACATTTGTATAAAAAATAAATAAATAAATCAAAAAAATCTTCTCCCAAATATCTTAATTTAATATATACTTTCCTTAGGTCGAATTGAAGGCTTCAATTAGATTTGAATTGTTCAATTAAAAAAGTTTTAATAAATTTGAATCAGTTAAATGTAGAGAATTTGACATATCATTTTATTGAATTATTCTAATCTCATCATATTATCATCAGCCTATCCTTCTAATTAATGACATTTTTTTTCTGCTTATATTTAATTACCCTTAAGTTTTTCGTATATGCCATATTATGGATTGTTATTAATTATCTATTAACTATGATCTTTGTCAATCCTAAAAAAAAAATTATAAATAAGTTTGAAGGTTTTGACGATTCCCCGGTCACTTATACTGATTATTATTCGTTGCATAAAAAAAAAGGTAATGGGTAAAGAATTTAAATATAAAATTATGAATTCAACCTCAAAAAAGCAACTACTTTTAATTTTATTTTGAAGACATCAATCTCTATCTAACATCGATATTACAAATTATAAGCAAAGACAAATTGATGAATGAAAATCAAGGAATAACGGGTGAGGTTTATCTAAACCATTCATAATATTATTAAAGAACCTTTTCCATCTGCTAATAATCAAAATTATATTGATTAATATTAATTACTTTATAGAAATTTACCGAATTAAAGAAATTACAAAGTAAAGATCATTGATGAACCGAACTTTTTAATGTCTACATATTTTTTTTTTTCAGTTTGTGAATAATAAAGTTTTCTAAATCATTTCTTAATTATAAAAAAAATATATCTTAAATTGAATACCTTCCTTTGATCGGGTAGAAAAGTCACCGAAATTAAAAATTCCTAACAATGAAGATTTTGATTAGATTTGAATCGTTCAATTAAAGAAAAGGTTTTAATAAATTTGAATCAGTAAAAGTAGACATTCGACATGTTATTTTATTAAATTTTTCCGTCCGCCCGTCTAATTTCTCATCATATTATAAATCGACCTATCATTTTAATTAATGAAGAAACTCACCACTATCAAATATAAAGAATATGAGCAAAATAAAATAGTTATTCGGGTTTATAGTGATAATTTATCTTGCTTAGAAAAAAAACTCACCAGATATTATCTACAAAATTGATTCCAGCGAAAACAAAAAAAAAAATTCGTCATTAAATGCACTGATGTGATCTGCAACAGATGAGAATTTTTTTTGTCTTACACTGAAGATGCGTAATTTTCTACGCGATTAAGACGAAAAAAGAATTATAATAAGAAAAAAGTGCTTGGGCTATCACTATTGTCATCGAAGGAATAAAACAAAAGACTGGATAGTCAAAGTGCTCAAGGTCCTTATTTTAAATAATTATACTTAAAAAAAATCATTTTTCATTTTCCAAGTATAACTTGCAAATTTTATTGGTATAAATACAGTTTCAAAGCTTTAATATAAATATACAAATTATAAAATAGATCTTGCTCAGAAAATCAAGAACACGAAACTGAAAAATCGACCAAAAATATACTATTAAGTTTACTAATAGAAAAACAAAAAGATCTATCTAATCTAGTCTACGTCTAAACTACGATCAATATCTTCCCTTCTATTTTACGAATTTCTTTGTGAGAGCGTGAGGTCGTTATTAATTTTATGTAAGGTGATGAAAAAAGAGCGATGTGCTTCTCTCTTTCCAGCATTTACATAGTTATCGATTACCATAGACAAAATGTCGAAGCGTCCATTTTTCACACGGAAGAAAATAAATTATTTGGCATATGGGATTCGTAAAATAATAAAAAAATTATTCTATTATGTCACCATCCTGTATGTTGAATACATGAGAGGGTTTTCTTTTGACGATATACTTCACCATAGATCGAGCGAAGCTCTATCGGTTATGTATTGAGCGTTCATGTGTGCATTCCATAGTAAGAGGGTAGGAGAACGATCCAAGGATCTGCTTCAATTAAGCATTTGTAAATATAACGAGAATTAAACTCCTATAGTGAGTTGTTTGACTATATGGGGTCTTTGCGGGAAACTGCCGGAAAAAATCAATTTTACTTTTATATGTCAAATATGATTTTTTAGGCTGAAATATGTTCAAATTTATCATTAACCAATTTTTTAGTTTTCCGGCAGTTTTCCCCCTTTCTATTGCAAAGGCCCATATGGACGTGGAAAACCTTTTTTGCATGTATGACCTGGCACAGTTGGGCCTTGACACCTTACATTGCATGTACTTTTTTCTTCCCTTTCCATTGCTCTTGCTGTTTTTTTCTGTTAATGAAATAGCTGCTGTGTGACTTGCAAGTTGAGCTAAATACACGTATGTTCTTCATAGATGGAAATCGGTTTATGGTATACAGAAATGATAGAAATCACAATGTTGAAAATTACCAAATTTAGCAACCAAATAAACTTTACACGAAATTATGACATTTTCGGGTATTATAGTACCCGGATACTATACATTCTACGTATATATATGGGTACTAATTTGCTTTATTTTATTAATATGAAAACAAGGAATTGAACAGAATTTCGGCTCAACTACTTATATATAATAAGTTTAATAATTTCAAACATCAGTTGAGTTCATTAACGTTCAGGTTATTATTTTATGTCAATTGGTAAAGATTATGTATTTTGGATAACAATGAATCATGAAGGAAAATATTTTTAAATATTTATTACTTATAATTCTACGAAAAATACTGAAATTGTAATCCAACGGATCGTATAGGTGATATTCTAGAAGTCAAATCCGCTACTAATCCAATACTATACAACATCTTCCCGTATTTTCCTTCCCACAAAAGTGTAATTCCCCTAGAGGTTCCTACTGTAGCTTTTACGATTCCGGTTACTTCACCTTGTGAAGTTTTATTATCAGTATCACCATTTGATTCACTTTCTCTTTCGTGTTCTCTTTGCCACCATTCAGCGCCAATCATCAAATCACTTTCATAGCTATACATATTAAATTCGAATCTTGGACATAATGCCAAATCATCAGATACTTGTGCAGCAAATGCAGCTGACATATGTCCCATGATCGGATTAATCAGGTAAGTCACACTTAGAGGAGACTGTAACGAAAACTGTGGGAGCGATCGATAACGTATCCCAGCGGAAACTATAAACAAAACTCTTTAATATAGAATTTCTTAATTTAATAATAATTTTGTTTTTGTTTTTTTTTTATTCGGTAAAATATATCAATTCATTACCTCCACCACTTCTTTCTCTCACCCCGTAATATAATTCAGCACCGATTGACCATTCTCCTTTTAATGATTCCACTTCATCATCATCTTCGGATTCGGTTGATACGTCAAACACATTTCTTTCAACCAGAGGTGCTTTCAAATTGTCGTCCTCCTTTTTCTTTTTATCCTGTAAACTTTTTTCTTCATTGTTAGAATCTGTATCTGTTTCTTCTTGACTCTGACTTGTAAAATTGTATAATCCTCTCACACCAAACAATTCTCCATCAGTGGTATAAGACAATTCAGTACACCATTGTCCGACATCGTATTGTAACTCGGTAGTAACCTATAATAATTAGAACAATGTTAACACATGATTTCTTGGGATTTTAAATAAACATGAGGAAGGTTATTAATATGATAGTAATAAAATGTACATTACGTGTGAAGCTGCTTTTGACCTTGGATCACTAACAGCTGTGACGACACATTGCATCCATCGAGAAAATCTCTTGGAATAAATAGCTTCAAGACGACCAGTTGGAACAAACAAACGACCATATAGTAAATAATCTAAGAAAAAAAAAAAAGAAAACTAGTAATTTGTATTCTGAATTCTTCAAATCTTCCAAGTTTAATGGGGAGGTACCTTTAATTACTTCAGTATCATTCTTATCTAAAACTTCAGGGGAGTAATTCCTTGGCATATAATTAATATGAAATCTATCAATCATTTCCATAAAGTTTACACGTTCACTTGGATTAACTTTTAATGGTCGTGATGTGAATAAATATCCCAATGAACCATTAAGTATCGGTGAAACATTCATCGAATATGATGCCTTGAGTAATGGAAATTTAATTTTTGATATCGCAAATGTTAATCCACGTGGTATCTGAAAGTCTAATATTGCTGTATTTTATTTAAGCGAAAAAAAGAACTTAAGAATTTGCTTTCTAATGTAAATTTAAGATAAAACTTAATTGATAAAGCTACAAAATTTATTGAAGAATAATCATGTTCTTACGTTTAAAGACGTAAATTCCTCACCTCGTGAAGCCGTACATAAATTAGAATATTGGTTATCATCATTCCAGTTAATTGTCTTAAAATATGTACGAAGGCAATAATCCATAACATCATGCATTTTGTCGCTAAAATGTAATTATAAATTCAATATATAAATGTTAAGAGAAAAAATTATAACTGCTAATCAATTTGAGATTGAAAAATTTTGACGTTATAATGTTGACTGAAATTGATTTTCGTCCGAAGTTGGGACTTTTCGGGTATCTGAAGATCAGTTAACTGAAATTTGGAATTCCAATTTCAGATATCTTTTTGCTATACATATAAAACTAATTTTGATCCCAAATTTTTTTTACAACCAAAAAAACTTTTTTTTAAAACATCTTTATTTAATTTCACATTACTTTATATATTCTAATAACATTGTATATATAAACAAGTTTAAATTTTTAAATTTAAAACATTTTTTTGTAACTTTATTAACCAACAAATTATTTTTAATTTTTTATCTATTCATGCAATTCAAAGAGTAATTTAAGCACTTTGGTCAAAAGAAGTCAGCTTTGAAAGTCTAAGTTAAGTTGTTCGGCAGGTTCGAAAATTGTTGAATATAAATTTTCATTATTATCGGATTATTAGTTGCAGAGTTATAAACATTTTCAAAATTATATTATCTCACAAAATTTTTTTTATACTTTTTTATCTGTTTAGCACTTAGGTCAAAGGAAATCCACTTTGAAAGCCTAAGTAAAGTTGTTCAGCGGGTTTGAAAATAGGAGAATATAAATTTTTATTATGATTGGATTAATAGTTCTATAGTTATGAATGTTTTTCATAATTATATTAACTCATAAAATTTTTTTATTCATTTGCATATTGGTCAAAAAAAATTGATTTTAAAAGTCTAAGTAAATTGTTCAGTAGGTTCACATATTAATTCTTATTATAATTGGATTAATAATTATATTATTTCACAAAAAAATTTTTTTTTTATATTTATTTAGCATATTGGTTAAAGGAAAGTCTAAGTAAAGTTATTCAGCAGATTCAAAAATATATAAATATAAATTTTCAAAATTTATGAACATTTTACATAATTATATTATTTTATGAATTTTATTTTAATTATTTTAAGATACATTACAAATGTAATTTTAAATTTATTTAAACTATTGTTCATATTTAAAGAATAATGATATTAAATACATAATTTTTAAATAATTAAAATAAATAATTTTTAAATATACAAATAATTTAAATCAAATATAAAATAAATCCAAAAAATTAATCAAATCCTTATTTCAGAATAAGTGTATCTAACTAATGCTGATTATATATTTTCTATTTTTGAAAAAATTTAACAAAAGTAATAATAAAATAATATATATTTATTAAATAAATAGCAATATTTTTGCAACAAGTAAAACATATTCTGATATTACTAATATGCTAATAATTCATTTTTTATTTTTAACTAATTTATTCTAAAAAAAAAATTTATAATAATTATTTATTTAAATGAAAATATAAAAAAATATATATTTATTTAATTTCTTTTTGATTTTTTTGATTTTTTATATTTATTTTTGTTTTTATTTTTATTTTTTTTTTTAAATATAAAAAAAGGATGTATTTATTAATAAAAAATTCATAAACAATTGAATAAAAAAAGAAATTAATGTGTTTATTAATTAATTAGTCTCAATTATAGTAAAATTTGTAAAATTCATATTTAATTTATTATAAAAATATTATTTTTTTTAAAAAATTAATTGATTAATTTTATTTATAATTATATGTAATTTTTTATTTAAAAAATATATTTAATTGAATATTCTATTAAATTTTTTTAAATTATTTTTATTAAAATTAAAATAAAAAATTGTTATTTAAATGTTTAATTAAAATCATTAATTATTTATATTTATTTTTAAACTATAAATTAATTCATAAAATTTTATAATAATATTTGAATTATTATTATAAGAAATTTTAATTGTAATATATTTCATTTTATATAAATAATCTATTTAAAAATAAATAATATATCTTTTAAACTTATTATATACAGTGGCTTCCAAAAGAAACGCAAGTGGCATTGCTTGCCTTTAAATGCCTGTAACTCACTGTGCACGAATGCT